TGCCGTGTATTAGAAGTATTTGTTTATTATTTTAAAATGTGATAATATAAATTATTTATGGTCGAATTTGAACTACTCGTATCTACTTATTTTACATGTCATGTAAAGAAGGAAGAAATTACACGATAAAAGGCATGACACATGACACCTCAGGATTCGAGCGTTACATTATAACGTCATGTCTGTAATGTTATTCATGTATAGGAAACGGTTGCTGTTTATTATCAGGGGGATCCCATTCGAATCATATAAAAAAAAAGAGTGAAAATAATTATTTAAAGATGATTTTTAATATGAACGTGAATGGATGTAAAGGGAAAGGACATGCAAGATGGATGGACTGTGTGAAAGATGCTCTGCAAAAGGAGAGTAAGCGTATATGACGGGTGATAGGGACCAGTGGAAGAAAGTGACATTCTGCGCCGACCTCAAATAATGAGATAAAAGCAAGGCTATGATGATATATAAATATTTTAAAACAAAATATAGCCTATGATGTACAAGAAACATTTAAATTTAGTTTTAATGTCAAATTACGTATGTCATAATTATGGAAGGACTCGAACCGTTTGTCATAAAGCTGATATACCAACATGCGGTAAAATCCTTCATGTATAATAAATATAAAAATAGCTATTAATAGAAGTTACTATTACAATACTGTGGTAAATAGATTAGGTAACTTGAATTATATCATTACATAGAATGAGTTGACCGATATTACGCCCCAATTGTATGAACAGCACTATGCTATATTTAGAATTGTATGAACGGATTAACTAGCCGGTTTGGAGCGGTTTTGTCATGGATGTGATGATATGTTGTATGCACTGTATTGGTCATATACGGGCGACTACGCAACAGAATTATGACACCATCACAAGTATGAATCCATATTTGACGGCCTAGGTGGTCTAACAGTTTAACACAGCACCTTACTTCCGATGGTCGCAGGTTCGATTCCTCGAATGGTACAAACATTTATATTCATTAGTATGATTGTTTGTATAGGTCTGGGTGTTCTTTAATGTGTGTATATAGAAAAAAAATATCTATGTACATATATTATTATTATTAATTCGTAACCTATTATTTTTATGGTTTGATATCAAAGTTTTGTTAATTAGACAATCGTTTCATAATAAATAATAGATACATAAATTATTATGATTGTTTACTGCCTTTTACCCGCAACTACGTTCTACGAAAGATAGCCTGTTTTATGTATTTTCATATTAACTTTCATTAATATATGTTTAATTATGAGTAGGGATGCTCTATATGCTATAGATCTCTCTATTATTAAAGAGGTCTCAGTACATTTCTGCCGTCGTTCACTCATCTTTGCCGTAATGAAACTTATTTATTATTCCAACGTGTACTATTCAGCTTCGCTGGTCATTAACCTCAGTTTTGCAACACCGTTATTCGCTGGTTATAAATATTGTCATAGATTTATTATTAGTTTGAGATTTTTCTTATTATTGTCTTTTTGTTATTGTGATGTATGAAACTTAATCTAACACTAGCTCCTGCCCCAACTCGGCACATGTGAATTAAAAATCTTATGATTTTTCGCCTTTTCTGCTCATTCATTTTTTAATATGAATATGTGTACATTTAATCCTTCCTCTTGAATCTCTAATCTATTGCTGTATAATAGAACCCGTTGCTTAAACGTGTACAGACGGCGTCGGCGACTTTGTTTTGTACTATGTGAAGAAATTATTATTTTTATGCTAATAGAAACTAATTCTGCTTAGTTCTAAATGATATACCAGATGTGAGTAATAAAATTAAATCACTTTCACGAAGACAAGAAAAAAATGAAATTCAGAAAATAGGTTTTGTACTTTTCGCACTAAATTTTTTTATGTTATGAACCTATCAATAACTTATCTTGGTATAAGAGTAATTCTAATGAAAATAAATTAAAAATCATTTAAATCAAATCAAAAATAATTTATTCACTTAGGACATTTTAGCCCCTTATGGACATAAACTTTCTGTATTAATATTTTTCACTACTGTCCAATTCAGTCTACAGATTCAATTGAGAGGAACTGGCAAGAAACTCAACTAATTTTGTAAGAGCCAGTTTGTTAACATCATTTATTTATTTAGGTATCTATGTCTAACATCATCAAAAATCTATACCTTTTTCAATATAGATTGTAATTAATATTATTCTGTTATAAAGTTCGTAATTTTTGGAATAGTGCCATCAAAGCCCATTAGGCACTCGGTGGTGAAAACTGGCTAAAACTGAATATTGGCATAATCACCTTAATTGGTCAGAATAGGTGTCTATTCGAATGTTATCATTACTAATAAACCTAACACGTTGAATAAAAATGAAATCATAGAGTGAAAATTATCCATACGGTGCGAAAGTATATCTGTCTGTTTTTACTTTTATTATTAACTTAATAATATAATAATAAATATATATGCGAGTTGAAACTATCAGTTAGCTTTTATCTCAAAATAAGACGTCAAACGTCACAGGTAACAGCAGTCTTTCAATTAATACAATTTTCACATGGTAGTAGTGTGTATGTATTTTTATTCCTTGAAATCTGGCGAAACAAAAATATAAAAATATCAGTATAAAGTTGAGTATTATATTTTATAAACTCTTAAATATAATTTATGTACAAATTTTCTAATTCCTTGACTCCTAATATGTGCGATGTTAGTTGATATTTGTCGGTAGTCATTAGCCTATTTATGTTCACAAAATATATATACGTACATTCGGCAATAAGTATGAGTATATATATTATTATTAGTTATAGTATGACGTTTGAGACGTCAGAAGCTTTGTTTACATACACGTATGTATATACGTACGTACATACGTAGCTCATATTGAGTGTGTCTTATAAATATAATCGATAATAGCCATATTACCGTAGGTCTGGGTAAGCCTGACTACATATACCATTATTAAAACACAACAGAGCCGGTAAGCTATTTTAAAAATTCTTATAAAGAAAACAAAATTCGCAGGAGAACATTGGGTACCCTTCTAAAATCTTTGTCAATTCAAAAGTGGGTTAGATAATACTAAAAATTACGTTAAATTTAATTTTAACACATGTCTCTCGCATTTAATAAAAACAAAACAATTGATTTTCTACATTATAAAAATATGTTTGTAATTCCTTTTAAAAATTAGACGTTTGATTAGAATATTGTAGAAACCGAATGTTAATTTGCAACGACATACCATTAAATTTGTTTATAAGGCATTTCTAACCATTATAAGCTTATAATTATTTGACTATAAATTCACATACTATAAGAATACATAGTAAATGTAAATCCCTGTCACTTAATACTTTTTATTTTTATACTCTTAAACTTAAGTTATACTAGCTGAGCTGCGTAATATCGTGTGCATCACGGTTTTCATCACAGCTCCGCTCCTATTGGCCGTAGCATTATGTTACATAACCTATAGTCTTTCTTGACAAGCGGACTATATAACGCTTAAGCTAAAATTTTTAAATTGGCACTGTATTACCGGAGATAACCCGAACACTCAAACTACTTCTTTATATGACTATACATTTATCGTTATTATCGGTATATCGAGAAACTAGTGGTGTCACATCACTAGTGTGACGTTCTGCTAGCGATGCATCGACCGACTCGAGCCGGCCACGGCCTCTGTGAACCGATTACAACCAGTTTTGATCCAATCGTGATCGCGCTCCGCCACCAACCAATCAGCGGCCATTTTGATCAGTCGCTCGCCCGTGCTTTACGAGAGCTGTGTCTCTTTTTGTGTCTATTTTCATTACATACGTTTACATATCTGAAATTTTCTCGATCGGCTGAAAACCGGTGTTATCCCGTAGTGCTTTATTTGTACCGTGCTATCGTCGCCAAATAGTGATATATAAAATCGAAACGCTTCTCAGTAGTTTCGATTCCTGCGGAAACCGTTCCTAAATAATGTTGGACAAGTAAAAAGTGTTAGCGTTCTGGCTTCTGAAACCGAGTGTTGTGTTTGTTTCTTTTCGGAGACCTGTCCAATGGTTGGTGAAGCGATACGTACACCAGCTATGGTTGTTGCAAGAGGCCGCTATTTCCGCGTCGGTTCTGGAGCCTTCATCTTCTTCAACCTGACGAGGCAGGATTATAGCTGACGAGTAAGATGCTCGTGTTCGAGCAAAGACTGAGTGCGCGGAATATAGGGCGCGGTGTGCTTATCCGAGCCCGTCTAGTGCACGGTGTTGAAGCGAGGGGCTGGCGGATGAAGTTCTCTCTCTTGAAAGCCGAAGTAGAGATTGAGGCTGATCCCCAGACGTACAAGGAGCTCGCTAGAAAGCTTAAAGCGGCGAACGTTCACGTGAGACCGGCCCGCCGAGCGCGTCCCGCGTAAATATCCAGTTTTTAGTAGTTTTCTGTAGTTATATTCAAGGTGTTAAGTAGGTACTTAGGTTTGTTTTGATTTTGGTATTACACAAATATTACGAAGTTTCCGTGTCACAAACGTAAAATTGTAAAAGTAGATGATCTTATTAGGTCGGTACTGTGGTTTTTCTTAATAATTTTCTATTCTGATCAATGCTTAAGTTGCTAACTACTTAAAACGCATAATTACTGAAAGTACCTAAACAGGAACAGTCTCAATATATTTCGGCTAAAATATTTTTGTAGTGTATTTTATTTACTTTGTACAAAGTCATTATTACAATCTTTTTATTATTGCAACTTTATTCTTCCACATAACACAATATTATATTTAGTTTATTTATATTTCATTCTGCCACTCATTTCGAATGCAGACTCATTACAAGGACTAAAATTATATATTATTATTATATATGTCATTCTTTTGAAAGAATGTTGTATAAGTAAATACACTTTAACAAGGATTGGACATGCTACAATCAATATAGAAACTGCTAGGCTAACTACTCAATCTTTGTGCAATCAAATATTGTCAACGCTATGAATATTCTAAATATATAATTTCTTTGTTGCAGTGTGACCCCAAAGACTGTTGCCAGTACGATTGTGGTCAATAAACCAGTTCTACCACAACCTGGTGAGTGTTATAATTATACTACAGTGTTTTTTATGGATGACTTTTTAATGTATCATAATAGTATGGTCTGATTGGCAAAAGATAGGAACACATGGAAAATGCTGGAGGAGGCCTTTGTGTCTAAAGGACATGTTGTCTCAGAGACTGAAGTGCAGAATTACAAATAGCATATAATATAACTGAACTAGCTGTGCCCACAGTTGCACTCACATTAAATTTCAATATTAAATAGCCTATGTGTATTCTGATGCATAAGCTATATTATTGTAAAGTTTCATCAAAACAAACAAACATCCATAACCAACTTTGGTGTTTATAATATTATTAAAATATTTATTGTATCTTTTAAACTCTTAAATAAATATTTCTGTTAGATTGTGTTAGTGTATAAAGACTGAATTAAATGGTATGGTTCACCCGCCTGCGCTTCTGGTTTACACTGGCAGGACAATAGGATGAGCATGAGGTCAGGTCAGTTAGCCCATCATGGTAAATTCACCAAGAATTATCACGATGGTTTCCATGGGGAACCGCATTGAGGTCAACCTGACTTGGTACATTATTCGCAATAGTCATCAGTCCATATTACTAACAATTCCCTTCCCCCTTGGGATGGTATTGTAATGATGCACCCACCTGCGCCTCCAAAATATAAAATAAAAAGATTGTAGACAACCCTCATCACTTAGGGCTATGGAAAATGGTTTAGATCCTATTCTTAGACCTACTGAATATACCAGTCAAGTCATTTCGGAGGAGTTTGGTTACAAACATTGTGACATGAGAATCCTATATATTAGATAAATTATTACCCGTATTTATGCCGCCATTGTTACCTATGTATAATAAATAAATAAATTATGTTTTTTTTCACAGCTATACTTGCCTCATCAAACCAGATGAAACCAATCTACTGTCAAGAGTGAGTAAACATTTATATAACGTATATATTATTCATACCATTAAATCTAGTTAGATGTAAGGAGCATAAGCTTGTTTGTTCTAAAATACTGAGTAAATTAATTATTCATACCTAATCAGACGTAACATGGAAAGTCTGGTTCTTTGTTTGTAAGTTAAACTCGAAAGATACAGTTTTTTATAATCTGTAAAAAAGCTACATTGTCAACGAATGTCATAAGCTGTATTTTATATCATATTCACTACTGAAGACAATGGCTGTATAGGCTGAGTCCTTTTGCCATTCCCTGAAAAAGGAAAAAAAATATAACATACCTCTGTACAATATGGAGATCGAGATTCTGATTTATTTATTAAAAATGGCGGGAGCCTCCATTACAAATTGGGGAACGCCATTACAATTAATATTTAAATACATACATTACCAGTACAATGAGAGTATTGTGTTGGTTATGTTTTTTTATAAAGTTATTGTATGTTTATTTTATTATTTAAATTGTAGAGTTGTGTATAGTGTGACAGTATATTATGCCTAGTTAGATTTACAATTAGAATTGGATTCTACGCATAATGTCGATTCACTATGTATAGAGTCAAATGATTAAATATATGAATGAAATTGAATTAATGAAAATGAATGACTCGGCGCAACTTTTAAAAATATTTAAGTAATTAAAGTTAAAAATATACGCCCTACATCTTGGTTTATTGTTTTATTCAGATGTACAGATTAAAAATACGATCTAATTGAATACGTACTTCTTTTTTAAATTTGGTTAGAAATGTTACTGACACTCGAAAAATATGCTTATTATTATAAGTAGTATGTAGCCCCCACCTAGTGATAAGGTATCGCTGTGAGAAATCTCAGAAAATCATGACATAAATAAGATAAGATAATAATATGGATTGAAGGAAAATTTATCAGAATTACAATGTGAAATGTTCACAGAAACAATAATTTTAATATATAGATACAGATTGGTGTATGCTGTAATTTTTGTACTGACTATTGAGAGGGTAAATGAGGGGTCATCTATTATATCACATATCGACTCAACCCACAAGTCGACAGAATGTCACTTTGTCGACTCAACTTAATAATGCTTAACCTCCCACAGTGGAATAAATTAGCTGGTTGTTCAAAAAAAGACAGAAATTCTCCTGTCTACTTGCTCTTTCCTGTCTCTAATGCTTCAGGATGGTGGAGCAAAGAAAGAAATTAACTTCGACTTTTCACATAAAACCTTTTTTTGTGATGAAAAACTGACAAAAAAAGATGCTGTTCGAAAAAAAAGTAAATGTAAATTTAAATTCTATTGTATTCTTTATTTTTTTTATTTTTTATTGATTTTATAACCCTTGTCGATAAAATTCTCCAAGGTTGGTTCTTTCTTGACCTGGCAACCCTATTATAATACCTGTAATTTTGTTCAACAGTGATGGTGAAATGAAAGTGAACACGCCGCCATGTCACTCGCCTGGCGCCATTCTACCGGACTTGCCACAACCTGCCGAGGATCCAGACAAGGTAGTTTTTTTTATATAATTGGAACCGGACTCAAGCTCACGGCCCACCTGATGGTAAGTGGTAACCGTCGCCTATATACATGAACAGCACTACGGACACCACGTTATCATCTGATACCCGCGATGCCACTGCGTTGCCATTACAGACGACTAAGATATCATGCCACTTGTCCAGTAATTTGAGTCCCAATCTGCCGAGGATCCAGACAACGTTTTTTACTACATGCATATGAATATAAATACGGTACATAAACGAAAATAACATTTTTTTCAATTTTTGTCTATGTGTTTGTTCCGGCTAATCTCTGAAATGACTAGACCGATTTTGACGGGACTTTTATTGGAAGGTAGCTGATGTAATAAGGAATAACTTAGCCTAAGTTACTTTTATTTTAGAAAAATAAACATAAGTTCCCCGCGGTGAAGTCGGCAGGTACAGCTAGTTTTTAATATAAAACAACTGGTTGCAGAATTATGGCCTGTCCAAAGAGGCTACGTCAGCAGAGACGCAGACGTGGCTGTCGCGACATCGGTTCTCGCAGCATGCGTCGACGTTCGCGAACTTCTCCGGCGCTGATCTGCTCAGGTGAGTTGTAGTAATGACAGGTACCGAATTTATATTTTTTATGAGCCATATTTTTTCCGCCGCCCCATGTATATTCCTTTCGAAAATAATGATTTTCCATTTGTAGTAAAGGCCTTAAAGTTAAATAAACGGTAGTTTACAATACCTACAATCGATTTTGGCGGCGGGAGGAAGAGGGGAGGGGGGGGGGGATGGACTCCCCCCTTAAAGGGGGGGTGCGATACCTCATAGTTTTTTTAACTGCTGCTCTCATCTGTCACTCACGCAATTCATCTCGCATTTGAAATTAATTTACTTATATGCAATATTTGTTTCAGGTTATCCCGGGATGATATTATTCAAATTTGCGGCCTTGCGGATGGCATTCGTCTGTTCAACGCGCTGCACGCCAAGTGAGTAATATATATTACTGGCTGACTCGCGCAACTTCGTGTACATCACACTTACTATGTGTTATTGTGATGTATAAGCTATATATATTACTGTAAAGTTTCATCACAATTCGTTTAGTAGTTTTTGCGTGAAAGTGTAACAAACATCCATACTCACAAACTTTCGCGTTTATAATATTACTAGCTTTTATCCGCGGCTTCGCACGCATTGAATCCATAAAATAACTTAATTACTTAAATGCTGCTAGAGGGCGTTGAAGTAGCAAAATGTTTTTATTAAATTTTTTTGTTTTTTATAAAAAATATTTTTTTTGCTTTTAATAAATGTTAAACTATGTTCATTCTAATACCTCCAAAAACATGTGGACAAAATTTCATGATGATCAATTCTGTAGTGTTTGCGTAAAATCGTAATATCCCTACACGTCTCTCACATTTATAATATTAAGTCAGGATTAAGATCAAAGATACATCTTGAGTTGATCGCAAATATTTGTATCAGTTGTCTAGTACCCATAACACAAGCTCTCCTTAGCTTGGAACTAGATGGCGCTGTGTGAATTATCCTGAAATATTATTATTAATGTACTGTTGTTTGTTGTAGACGCATCGAGCCGCGTCTGACGGTATACGTGTGTCCCCCGGGCGCCACTATTTACAGCGCCCTCTATCTACACGCGTGCAGAGCTCACGAACTACTCCACAAACTGAAGGCTCTCCTTCACTCATCACTTGGGAAGGTAATAACCTTATTTTAAAATTATTCTCTACTATTTGATATCAAAGTGTTGTGGCCCAGATCCCCACCAACATGCTGCCCATATTCATGAAGGAGGACAGTAGTCCTCCTCGGCCGAAGTGGTGTATAGGCGCTACCGTGGCAGATTGCCATCGTCAGTGCCGTGACCACAGAGACAATTTGAATTTCTATTTTATTACTGTTTATTATGTATTTTAATATATAAGGTATTAATAGTATGGGACATATAGCCTGAATTAAATAAATAAATATACACAATGTATAAAGGAATATTTATTATGAGTACTGCCCGCGATTTCATACATCATACGTATATTGGCCATCGATTGTATTAATAAATTAATAAATTTATATTCAAACTAAAAAATCATTCACCTTTGGACCTCTTGTGCACGTCGTATTAAAGACAATACGACGTGCACAAGTGACTATACACGTGCACTATAGGGATTAACTAATTTGAGTATCTATTATTTTATTAATTAATTAATTAATACAACTGTAGATGTGATATTCAAATTCAAAATATCTTTATTCATGTAGGTCTATTACAGACTCTTATGATATGTCAAATCTACCGTCAGTTCGTTGTTGAATGGTTTCGAGATGTGAATAATTGACTAGAAACTCGGCTCGTATTCTTTTCAAATAAATGTTGTACATGTTAACAATAATACAGATTCATTTTTAAATTCATATTTAGGAGAATAGAGTGGAGTGACCACCAGCATAATTAATTATTCATAAAACTAAATACCGGACCGGAAGACGCAGCGTTCAGGCCTTCAGCCACCAGCAAGGTGGACCGACGATCTGGTGAAGATCGCTGGAAGGCGATGGATGCGAGAAGCGCAGGACCGATTGCCGTGGAGATCTTTGGGGGAGGCCTATGTCCAGCAGTGGACGTTTTCGGGGCTGAGATGATGATGATGATGGAAAATAAACATGTCATTACTTTGGGGAGGGGGATATTTATCTGAGATGAGCTTTCTATATGTTGACCTATATTTGAAAACATATTCAGCGAAATATTTTTATTTCTACGGGAACACGATGGCTCGAAGTGAGATCCGCTCTTAGAAGTGCATATTAAAAATATTAATTTCTCCAACAGGAGTGCGACACGGTTGTCGTGTCAGGCCCCAACGGTGCCCTAGTGCGTCTCAGTGACGAACTAGTCCGTCATTTACCAGACAACTCAACGTACCGCCTGCAAAGACTCGACGATTCCGCTGCCTTACTGCTCACAGCGACCACAGGTACCAACGGTCCGACGACCAGCTCCAACTAAGTGGCACGGAAATTGTGTTATTAAACTACAACGGCGAAATTAGGCCTTAACATAACATCAATCTGCAGATTTTGTTAAGCAGAAGAGGAAACGCCACTACACATCCTATGTGGTTGTAGCCCATGCATAAACGTAATATCTCCTCTGGAAAGTGTGCACTATATCCTGAGGAGATAAAAACCATCGCTCCTAAGAATATCCTTCAATTCTTGTCCCTGACAGGTCGCGCGTAGTGAACTCTGAAAAAGGGCGAGCACAATAGATCTATGCAGGTCGCAGTGCTACAGGTCCAAGTACCTGACAATAGCCCACACAACCCAAAAAAAACTGCAATGGTAGCACTATGGACACCTGAAACACCAGGGGTATCACGTACGCGTTGCTGACCCAAATATATCCTTAAAAAACCCCATGCTGTAGTCTCTCGCGAAAACTTCGACAGGTAGTTCATTCTACAATCTAAGTGTACGCGGGAGGAAGCTCCTCTGAAACCGCCCTGTCCGAGACCACTTAGGTTCCGGCGTGTGTAGGATATTGTATTTGAAAAATGCATATAAAACTGAATTGCAATGAACTTAAAAATGCAATGGTCTGAAGTTTTGTCTAAAACTATAATTTTAGTGTGATATTTTTTCCTAATTCATGTTGGATAATAAATATGGAATAACATTAAAACAGTCGATGAATTCTAGAATGCAACAGTCTGAAGTTATCTCTAAAATTATAATTTTAGTTTGATAATTTAGTGACGGAAAATAATCTTGGATAATGAAATAAGAAACTACGTAAAATGACAATATATTCAAATTATTGGCAATAGTAGAATCTGTCCTGAATATTTCACCCTGATGTAAAGTCGGAATTATAATTTTAGAAATAAGTTCTTTAGAAAGTGGTTTCTTAGGATCAACCCTATACGGGTGAAATGTGATCTGTTATTCTATATACTACTGATAAATGACATTTCTAAGTCAATCCATTCTATGAAATGAAATTCGTTTAGTATCAATTTACTGAATTTACTAAAGAGAATTTCAGAGATTGAAATTATTTGATATAACATTATCATCAAATACTGGTTTTTGTACCATGTAATTATTATAATACTCATTAACAATATAAAAATAAAAATGTTTTAAATATGTAATAAAAAACAAACTTATTCTGTAAAAAAAAGTAGTGTGATACTTTTGTGTCAAAGGAAAATAATTATACGGCCAAATAATACAAAAATTTGGTCTATATTATTTTTGACAATGTAATTGTCTTAGAGAATTCGGAATATAGAATAATCTAGGATTGAAATGATCACTTTATATATTAAATTTTATTTATTTATACTTTATATTCACTGCTGTAGGTTTCAATAAAAGAAATTGATTGTTATTTTATCAGTTATTTATGCAATGTAGAATAGTTTATAAAAATTACCATTATAGCAGTCTGTAGCCGTGTTATGAACGTCATAACGTCATTTAGGCCATAAGGCTTGGAATACAGTGAATGTAATAGTCTCCTGGTTTATTCTAAATACTGAAGTTTAGTTTAAATTTCGCAGTCTAACACATTTCATCTCATTAGCTTGTAATTTTGTAATTTGTTTCTAAGTACATATTGTTCCAAATATTATTTTTAAGTTAAATTGAATTTGCTTTTAACTGGTTAAATAAGTAATGTAACCAGTTAATTATAATAGTTAAATTACTAATTAAATGTAAAGTTATACTTTGTTTAAATATTTTAGTTTAATTTAAACTAGTTATGTCGTTATAATTAAGTATATGTTGTTTAATAACGGTATAAAATACCTTTAATAATGTAGTGAAATATAATTTGTCGTGATAAATTGTTAAATTGAGAAAATGTCCTCCCGATCTTAAACTTCTAAGATAATTTATGGAACTATACTACTTTAGAGGCTCTCCAATTGATCCCTCGTCTAATACAAACGGGGATCGAAATTATGACGGCCTAAGCAAAGGTTCGCACCCCTAGTGGTGTCCTTAGACTAAAGTCGTATCCGTCAGGCGGGAGTTGGCCTTCAGCCGCTCCATAAGTCCTTTAGTTTGTAGTGCCATCTGTACTAGCCCCCTATCGTCCGGTAAAGCTGCAAAGATCAGCTGCAGCCAACAGCATTATGGTATTCCGAGTAATAGAGAAAAAATATATACTACTTTAGGTTTCCTAATGCTTTCTTAATGATCTTAGAAGTTTATTAACGGTAGAAAGTTATTAACAAAATAAACCTTTGTTTAAATGATAAAAGTTTTGTTTTGAGGACCATTCTGGTGCAATAATTTCGTATTCCTTATTAAAACACGGTTGTTTAAATTTGTACACCTTATGAAACTATACTAACTATTATAAAACGGGGTATTTACTGTGATAATATTATTTAAAAGGTCCCTATATTTCAACTCATTCTATTGTGAGTAGACAGTACTTTACGAAAGCTCAGGACATTTATCCAAGAAATACCAGAAATCGTAATAGATTGGTACTTGCTAAAACCTATACAATGACACAGTACACAAAAAACTGTGAAAATATGTGTATAAGAATTTATAATTGTATTCCTGAGACATTGAAGACGAATAACAAAATATTATTTAAGAAGACATTACGAGAATGGTTAAAAAATAAGGAATTTTACAGTTTAAAGAATTTTTTTGACAATATATAAATACCGACTAGAGAGATCCTTTTTAACTATTATTATTTCTCTCTGTATAGTTAATTATGTATAATTTTAAACAATACTATTTTGCATGCCACTACTATGGCAAAACACATGATACTAAGTTTTAATTACCATCTTTTATACTGTGTTTTTTAAGCAAATAAATTGATTGCAGAGAGATTTCATTCATTTCCTATTATAGCCGTAAAACGTGAGTTTCAAGGCGCTATAAATATAAACTGTAGAAAGAGATTTTGCCGGTATATCTCCCGCATCCACTATGACTGCATATAGTTTTATCACTGTAAATATCCCATTTTCATAATGTGTACAGTGGTTCTAAAACATTAACTTAATCATGTTATTTTTATGTAATTTGTTTCTATCGGCAGCTACATGTAATGTTGTCTTAAATGTTGTTAATTATGTAGGTTTTATTATTAACTATATAACATTATTATAGTTGCTTGGTTATACCGTTGATATGATTTGTCTCGCCTGATAGTGAGCACCCATATTAGAAAACATGATTCAACATTCTAAATGGGATTATAATTCTGTTGTCTGGACAGATAGGTAAATAAATGAAATCGAAATATTTAAGTACACCCATTAATTACGTCCGAATATTTTAAGAAAATACCTTTTTTATATTTGTAAAATAAAGCAAAAAATAAACAAGTAATGTAAGAATGTGTGTATCAAATAGTAGTATGTCCTTTGTCAATGTCCTATCATAGTAGCAAAATTAATCAAAATTGATTCAGTGAGTCTATTAGGCGTGAAGTAGTCACTTATGCGTTTATATTAAAAAAGGGTTTAAGGCAACTAATTAATAAAAAAACGTACGTAATTATTGGATATTCTTTTAAATTATTTCGCCTTGTATTGCCATATTATAGATGTATTATAGTAACCATATGATAAAATTGTATAAAAATCCTAGGTGCCTTATCTGTGCCTATATACATATATACACGAGCTGGTTCGCGCGAGTTGCGTCACGGAGTATTAAATTAATTATTTTGTAAGATTTTATATTTACATGTATTGTTACCTATATTGTTAATATTGTCTCTGTATAGTTTATAATCTGTAGTTTCAGTGTACACTCGTGTAGTGAATAAATGTATATAATTATTATTGTTTTCATTATTTTATTAAACACCTTTTTTGGTACTTAAAATATTGTGATTTCTCTAGGGGCTGTACATTAATAAAGGCGAAGTGAGGCATGACAGGGGAAAATCCGGAAAAAGGACAAAATATCACAACCTGGAAGGGGGGGGGGGGGGGTAGTTCTTTAGATGTATGTATTAACGATTTCACTGTAGAACACTGTAATCTCTTGAGGAACGTCGGGCTGTAAGGAGAGTCTTTCCAACTGTCTTGATACGGAAATGGAGAGTTCACAAAACCACCTACCTACTAAATAATGTAGTTACTGAATTTATAATATTGTCGAATTCCGCTACAATTGTAGGACGAAACTATAAATTCACTAAGTAGTAGAATGGACTCCAAAATAACTCCCCATTCGCTAAAATAAATAACTACCTTCATTTTTGAACAGTTATATCTTATTTTGTAACTTAGTACATTGCACAGCTTATAAAGCAAGCTGCTCAGCAGAATAGGTGAGACAGACATACCCACTTGTACAAACTTTGTGTTTAACAAACACAAATATTAAAAAATATATATTGAAAATACCTTCACCTTTCTCTAGCCACAAATCTTGGTTCTCAGCATATATCTTCCACATATGGAAAGTTTCGCGCGAATCTACATGATAAAATAAATTTTGTTGTGTTAATAAATAAAACGATTAGACATTAGCTTATATAAATATAGTATGTATTTCAAGGCACTGTAACATTCTCATATAATACTGTTACATAACAGACGTTGTGATGACCAATTGAAAAAAAAAAGTTATTAAAAATAATTTCGCACATAATTCTATGGTACATATCTAATCATTGGATACCGGTCCACTTTATAATTTCTGAATCATTACGAAATAAAAAAAATAAATTTCTACCATAGAACATAAAAAACATGCAAAATAATCTAACAACTACTACAGTAGACCTTAGCATTAATATTATTAAAAAAATAAATAAAATAACTATTAAATCTAAGCTCTTAAATATACTAACAAAATAAGCGAAAATGCCTTAAAACAATCTAGTTGGATAAATAAGAATCGCATATAATTTAAAAATAGTATAAAACCGGAATGTTTTAAAATACGTAAAGGGGTAGTTACACTATCACTTTTATGGTAAGCAACCATAATTAAAATAAAAAAGGTAATGTAATATGACATTAACTTGTTTAATAATATTATATACTATATATATATATGGTAGTGTATTAACCCCTTGATAAAACTTGTATACTTCACGCTCTAAGGCATGGTAAAGTTGAGAGATAGTATTTTTTCGTAAACCACCATATTTTTTTTTAATTAAACAGTTTCATGATTATTTTGGAATTTGCATGGCATAATCGCCCCTTGAAATTTGAAATATTGATTATTACTGTAAAAGACTTACATTTAGTTTCAGTGGATTTTAGAAATTAAAGCTAATCAATCGCTTCTCTGATATATATCTCTACATTTAAAAGATTTAATTGTCAGCTTTACCATACTATATCGCATCGTGTATAAAATACAAAATATATGTTTCAGTTTAAATTTTCAATTATGCATGATTCAATAAAAAATACAATTTAACTTAAAATATGCGACAACTTATGCTAATTGTATAATTTTATGTACAAACGTAACTGTGGGCCTGACTTATCAGGCTTGTTGCAGGTACCAACGTGTAGCAAGTTGGATTTCTATAAGTTATTATCATTAAATAAAAAATATCCATTTTCCTTTCAAAAACTGGCAACACCGATTTAGTAAATCCGACAAAAAATGTTACAAATCTTGTATAAACAAATAAATATATCATAAAATGTGGAATGAAAAGAAATGCACAGAGAATAATTTGGTCTACACGACGTTATTAGAATGTAAACTTTTGCATTGTTTTTCTAAATTTTTATTGCTTTTTTTCTGCAAAAGTTACCAATAGGAAATATTTACAAATATTTTACAGCATAATCATTATGAATACCTTATTAAAATTATATTGGTCAACTGAACACAATTGTCAGTCATAAAATGCAATACAAAATGCATACAATGTCCCATAAATATTTTTATTGCTCAGAACAATAACTAAAACAGTTATTGCTATGGTGTTTTGAGAGGCACGACATCAGATAGTATAAAACATCACACGTTACATTGCAGAATTATAAATGCGATAACTACTCCATCATTGAATAATTTCTCCTACTCTGTACCTTTATAATTGATACATTTAGTAAACAGTCTAGGAATGTCTTTAAAAACTAGTCATTTTAAAATGACATAAAATAATGTACAAAAAATACATAATCAATTAACCAGAAAACCTGTTATTTTTCTAATTACTTTATAAATTATTATTCAAATACCAAAAATTAATACAGGTATAATAAAACAATAACACAAATAATCCAACCAGAAAATAAAATAAAAAAGGTATTTGTTATTGTAGTTATATTAAATTAGTAATTTTAATATTGTAGTTATTAAAGTGGTAAACTAGTTCCTAGCTGTTTTTTGAGTAAAATAGATCAATTGCATATATTTTGAGCAGTACTTTAGATTTAAGTGATTTTTGGGACGTTGTATAGTCAGTACACATTATCTTTGTATATATATATAAGTATAAAAATGCAGCCTAATGTGATTTTATTGTCAAAATACAATACTACGTTAATTGCACAACACTATCGCAGCTTTTCCTTCATTATAAATTACATTAAAGTGACATATACACTTATATACTGGTCTTTGAAAGAATATGTTCGTGGTATATAGCCAACTATTTTGATCTTAGCAGGGTTACCATACCCAAAAATATATAGCTTAGTACGAAAAAGTAACATATCATATATTAAGTCAGACTGTCTGTCTAACCTCTACATCAACTTATTTTGGAGTGATTTCTGTATGTCATAATCTCGTACACAGTACGAAGATGACAATGTTTTCGTACCAAAAGTTAAAAACCATGTAAGAGTAATATACATATATCATCTCAGACTGGCTGTCTAACCTCGTACAGCATCGTATTTTTAGTGATTTTCGTATGTCAAAATCTCGTACACATTTGTACAAGGTTGATGATGTTGATGTTGAAGTGGTTGATGATGGTTCTCGTACCAAAGTTAAAAACCACGTAAATGGTGAGAACTAGACGAATATTTATATTCAATAAAGTCACTGGTATAAATTTAAGTCATTTCTTGTAGCAACAAACGAAGACATGTGAAGGTAGACAAATATGTCTGCCCATAAAAGCTTTCATTTACCAACCTTCATTACTCTTCAGTCTACCCTTGATAATGGCGGTTGAAACACTGCCGAAACATCGGGTACTCAATAAAAATAACTGAAACGTGGTAAGATCCTGTGATTTTTCCTAATGATATTAAGTAATTTCGTTTTAAACCGTAATAATACTCAAATAAAGTTGATATTAGTTTGCATATTGTATCACTTGAAAGTATATATATTATATTTAGTCATAAATACAAAATGTAGTTATTGTAGTGGTGTCGTGTAGTTATAATTTTACTTTTAAATATTGACGCGGTCATTATTTAAACATAATATTAAAGAATAATGGGATCTCATTACTGTAGTACACTTAATACAAAGTCATCTGCGTTTTGTCTTGTCTTTTACAGTCACCAAGTAGCTTTCTTTGTAAGATGTGTTTATTAAATGGTCACAACCAAAATGTCCTTAAAGCAGCACTTGCCTAGACAGATTTTGTAGAGTCTTATACTATTATTTTGAAGCTAAAGATGTAATTACACAACGGCCGTGGTCCAGCGGTTTAGCACACCGTTGCGGGTTCGATTCCTAGCACATTTATTTGTGTTCACAAATTAATATGCGAGGTTACACTAGTGTTTGTATTCTTATTTATATGATTATTTATATCGGTATGAGTGTTTTCTATGTATATTATGTGTATTTATAATAAAACATGTCTCAGTATCAGTTTCTTAGCATGAAATTTTAGATGCCTCAAAGGAAAAAAATAAATATTATTATTATTTAGTTGTCTAGTACCCATAAATCACTGGGACTAGATGATCTAGGGTTATTTAAAACGCACGGGTGTATATATTATACATATATTATACATATAAACCTTCCTCTTGAATCACTCATCGGTGCGTCAAGACGTAGTTTTAAAGATTTAAGCATACATAGGGACAGACAGCGACAGCGACTTTGTTTTATACTATGAATTATTTATCTGAACAATCGTGGTATTATTCCATTATTCTTTAATATTACGTTATTAGTTACGAGTCGTGTTGTTAGTTAGCATACTGTAAAGGTTTTGAGAGACGTTCAACATAGTTAGCTGGCAGCATGCCGGTGTGTCCGGTGCGAAGGACCTGCCCCGTCATCCAGCCTTCGTCGATCGAAGTCACGTTTGATATGTAGTCGCCTTCTCGGAATGATACCTGCGAAAGGTAATAAATAATAATATAAGATTTTCTATATATCAAATTATATGAAATAAAAAATCATCTATACATATAAATAAAATTGGAGTGTCTGTTTGTAGTATTGAAATAACCGTTTTTTACTACATGTATATGAATATAAATACGGTACAGACCACAAAATTAAATTTTTTACAATTTTTCTCTGTCTGTCTGTTTGTTCCGGCTAATCTCTGAAATAGCAATTTTGACGGGACTTTTTTTGGCAGGTAGCTTATTTAATAAGGAGTAACTTAGGCTACTTTTATTTTAGAAGAAACTCAAATGAATTTCTTTTTTTAAAGCCAGTTTATTTACATTGGGTACTTACATATATATTTTAGAAGATCAAACTAGAATTAGAAGGAAAGGAAGGAATTAGAGTCTATGTGTATAGACATGTACTTACTTCATCGCTATCGTTCGCTTCATAATCGTACATAGCTACGTACACCACCTGAAATGTATTATTAAAATAAAGAAATTAATAAACAACCCTATACCAATATTATTATAATTAACTTATATAGGTGTCTATGTCTAACATTGAAATGAAAATGCGGAGTCACATGGCCTGCATGAACAACTGTTGGTATGCACACGTTTGTATCTAGAATTGAAGAAGGAAAGGAATCGGGGGGAATTAGACTATGACTATGTGTATAGACATGAAGACAACGTTGTTTAAAGCGTATTGTCAGTCGTTTTCATCGCTATCGTTCGCTTCATAATCGTACATAGCTACGTACACCACCTGAAATTTATTATTAAAATAAAGAAATTAATAAACAATCCTACACCAATAAGTATTAGGGATTATTTTCGTATAAACATTACCAATTCATTTAGTCATTTATAAATAAATAAATAAAATAAATAAATAAATAAGTATTAGGGATTATTTTCGTATAAACATTACCAATTCATTTAGTCATTTATAAACTTCCTTCTCTTGTTTATTATTATAGTTACATTATATGGAATCAATTCAAAATATATATGTTCATTTAGGTTTATTACATTCATGATATGTCAAATCTACCGTCAGTGCTTTTAGGTAAGAAAAAATGATAAGAGACTCAGCTCTTTATTCTTTTTAAAGGAACTTGTATCTAATAATATTTATTCTATTGCACTTATAAAATTGTACAATTTGTGCAAGCTTAGTGCCATATGGCAGTCTTTACCTGACCTTTGGGTAAGAACAGAAAGCGGTTGATGGGCAGTGGTGGGAAAGGACAAATCTATAATTTTACCCAACATAGGTAAATGCTTCTGGACAATTCACACCACAACGTTATCTAGTCCCAAGCTAAACAGCGTTTGGGTTATCGGTATTAGACAACTGATATAAATACATAGATCCATTTTTGGTTGTAAATACATACATAATATACATAGAAAACACCGAGACCGATACAAACAATCATACTCATATCAAATGTTTGTACCATGCAAGGAATCGAACCCGCGATCATCGGAAGTAAAGCTAAACCGAGGCCGTCAAATGTACATGATTACAAAAATGCAGATTCATTTCCAAATTCGGCTTCGATGGTCCAGCGGCTTACTTCCGATGGTCGCGGGTTCGATTCCTCGCACGGCATAAACATTTTGTATTCATGATTATGACTGTTTTGTTTGTATCGGTCTGGGTGTTTTTGTTGTATCTATATTCGTATCAGTTATCTAGTACCCATAACAAGCTTTAGCTAGCTTAACTTGGGTCTAGATGGCGCGATGTGAATTGTCCTGAGTTTATGATTATGATATGAAATTCAATTAGGGGATTCGAAATAGTAGAGAATGTACACTATACCTGATTCTGAGTTTTTTGTACGGGCGCTGACTTCGCTTGTTCAGCGAGCGGATCCATGTCAGTCACCCGGCCGATCTGACGGCTGGCCTGCTGCTGGGGGTGATGGGCACCTGTAACAGGACGACGACAGACATAACAGATAAATTCAAAATTCAAATTCAGAATATCTTTATTCAGTTAGATCTATTACAGACTCTTATGATATATCAAATCTACCATCAGTTCAGAATGCGGAGAACTGACAAGAAACTCAGCTCGTTCTTTTCAAATAAATGTTGTACATATTTACAAACAAGAGTCAAATTTTAATTCAAATTTGTGAGAATAATAAGAATACATATGGATTTCTAATAGTTTAAATTGCATTTAATGAAGAATTGTACAGTAGTATCATACTTGGTGAATATTAATAGTTTATTTGTAAATAATATTTGTTCACATTTATAAGTTATAAGAACATATTTATGACTATAATATAGTAAAGTCAATATAAATTTATCTCTAATTATATATATAGAAATATAGTATATATATACATGATAAACAAACCCAGACGTGTTGTCTTTTATTACAAATATTTAATTATACTTAAAAGCAGATCCCAGTCTTGACTAAAAGAACAATAGAAGGAATAAAATTATTGTTATTACTAATGTACTGATATATAGGTGGTAATATATTTTTATATGTGTATGATTAACTTTCACATATCCATAAAGGATCCTTAATTTTTTTTACTTAAATTCCATCAATTTATCTCATTGAAATTTTAACATAAAATAGAAGACTAATTCATGAAAAACGGCATATATTTTTATTAGAGTCATACCGGAGATCACTACGAACATCCAAACTCATCAACTTCACCTCATAATATTACTAAATATAGACAAAAAAAACATAACCATAAACCAAAAACACCATGACATTGCTGCGATGATAAATTAAAAAAAGTCACAAACCTCTCTTCGCATCACTAGTGCTGTTATAGATGAGCGTCGCCGACGCCCTCTGTGTGTTCGGTGGCGCCCTCGGTCCATCACTAACTGGATCGTAATCTTGAATCCTGCCAATCTTCTGATTATTACCAACCGTGTAATTCTGCTGATACTGGTAGTCATCATATTTCTGCTTATAATACTGTTCATCCGAGCTCGGTTTGTATGACTCCGTATTATTTTTGTATTGCTCGTACTGCCTCGGTTGGTAATTTTGAGGGGGCGGTTGATAATTTTGTGGGGGCGGCTGGTAATTTTGAGGGGGCGGCTGGTAATTTTGAGGGGGTGGTTGGTAATTTTGAGGGGGCGGTTGGTAATTTTGAGGGGGCGGTTGGTAATTTTGTTGGGGTGGTTGGTAATTTTGTGGAGGAGGTTGGTATTGTTGGGGTGTTTGGTAGTGGTTCTTCTGGGGTAAATTTAGTGCTACCGGGGGCGGAAGCATCTCGGTAGCGTAGTTTTCAAGTTGCTGATGATAGTTGTCGGTTGCGACTTCTTTATAAGCATGGACAAACAAACAACAAGTGAGACACAATGAATATAAGGAAAATAAAGCTTTTACTATGACAAGTGTTATTGTTTTTTTATAAATCATGCATGCAATAGGGTTTTAAAATTTCAAAAAATGTATTGTTTTAGAATAGTTAAATAAATAGGTTTTAATGTATTAAAAAATAAATAAAAGAATATAAGTAGATAAAAAACGTTCTAGATAAATCTCCGAAAATTAATTTTATTTTTATTAATTACGTTTAACGGCTCTGAATACAAGTCCTTTTGAGCCCAAGCTTAACAAGCACAGTAAACTCATAAGAAGTTATACAAAAGTCAAAACATATATTTCACGTAACATTAAAAATAAAGTATTGCCAGTTTAAATTGTTTTACCCTAGAGTTAAAATTAAGGTAAAAATAGCATAATTATTGTAACGACTGAAATTTAATTATTGCATGCACAAATTATAAATAACAATGATCAAATAACACTTGTACCTACAAACATATTGGACATGTATTATAAACTTTATTTTCCCGGTATGACAACGTTAGCAACAATAATGATTATGATTATGTGGTTCTAGGTAAGTACGAATATAAATAAATGGCTGGTATGTTGCATTGGGTGATTACATATTTTGTGTACAGGATATTTATACTCATTATGTTAGGTACTAGTTACGGCTACTACTTTGCTCGCGTGTACACTTTTAGACCTAATTATGCCGTTTATCTATATTAATAATTTCGTCAAGGGGTACGGTAGACTCGAACGAAACCTTATGTGAATAATAAAACATAAAAAAATATTGATTTCGAGTCGACAACATGGATATATGTTGTTTCGGTTTTTCAAAATTCGGATTATGAAGTATTTCGTTAAATTCTAACGACACTGACAAACAAACCGCAGTCGCCATCTTTTCATTTCACTAGCATTTTTTTCGGTCGTTGACGTTTCGCGAAAATATTGTTTTTAACACTTTTTTATGATAAAAGAGTATGTATTTTTTCTTTAAACCTGAAATTGGCCGATTGCGGGACAAATTTGCCAATTTTTTTTTATTTGTTTGTATCTGGATACAAGTTCTTTTTAGGCCAACTTAAAATTTACAAAAAAATAAAAATTTTTTGTATAAAAACTTTTACACTTTTTAGTTACTATATTTATTAAACACAATGAACGAAGCTTTACAAATCTATGCCTTGCTTACTTGTAATATTCCATGAGAACCGATGTCTACAGAAATATTTACCCACATTTCACCCGAACGAAGCCGGGTTTTCATCTAGTTAATTAATAAAATGGCAGATGGTATTATTTTTTATTGGGAGTTTTAGATTATTGTCAGGTACTAACCTGTAAGACTGCAACCTGCATAGATCTATTGTGCTCGCCCTTTTCCAAATTTCGCTATCTAAACCCGCCAGGGACAAGAATTAAAGGATATTCTTAGGAGCGATGGTTTTTATCTCCTCAGGATAGTGTATACTTTCCAAAGGAGATATTTCGTTTATGCATGAGTGGGCTACAACCACGTAGGATCTACCTGTAGTGGCGTTTTCTGTTTTGCTTAGCAAAATCTGTAGATTGTTGTTAAGCTAAGGCCTAATTTCGCCATTTGTTTATTCAATTCGCAGTGTTCAGTGGGGGCCGTAGCTATGATGCATATATTGTTTTTACTCAATAACAATAGTCTAGATAGATGGTATGCTGAAAATTTATCATAATCTGCTTCTTCCTTATCCCATTTATTTGAGGCCGGCAGAATATGTTTCCTTCTTCCATTCATCCCTGTTCGCAATCATCTCGTTTCATTTACTCCCTTTATTACCGTATGATATTTCATCTCTTTTTCGGCCTTCCTCTGCTCTTATAACCATCCACAATCATATGTAAGACGTTCCTTAAAATATTATCTTCATCATTACGAACGCATTGGAAAGCCAACTCTCGCCTGACGGATACGACTTTAGTCTGAGGGCAGCGTTAGGTTGGTTAGAAGTGATCTCTTTCGGAGAAAAACCCAATCCTTCACATTATTGTGTAACTACCTTTATTTTTTTAATGTTACAACATTGAACGTTCTGCTGGTCGGCCGACTGTTAAGATTGTGGTCGGTAATGAAAAAAGAGAGCTTTTTTGATCAAAACATGTAATTTTTATATTGTCGTCCGTCTGTTTTGTCGTATTCGTCTCGTCAATTGTTCTGTCTGTCCTAGTTACGTCTTATAAACGGCCAGCAACGCGCATGTGGCACCTCTGGTGTTTTAGGGGTCCATAGGCTACGGTAACCGTTTACCATCAGATGGGCCGTATGCCGGTTTGCCACCTACGTGGTATAAAAAAAAATGCAGCAACAAAGTTCAATAAAGTATATCATTATTAGGCGTTTAGCTATTTGACTACTGAACCCTAAAAACTGAGTACCTATTTGTTAAAACATCACCTCTGATCCATAGTTCGTTTAAACATGCTTACATTATTACCATGTACTTCTTTCGAAAAAAAAAACGCAAGTCATTTTTTTTTAACTCTAATGGCAATCTTGTTGACGTTCTAGCTGATGGTAAGTGGTAAGAGTCACCTTTAGATGTGACGGCCTCGGTGGTCTAACGGTTTAGCACACCGACTTGCAATGATTGCGGGTGCGATTCCTCGCACGGTACAAACATTTGTATTCATGAGTATGATTGTTTATATCGATATGGGGGACTTCTAAGTTTTTTTTATTATATACAATAAAAAAGAAATTTAGAAGTCCTTCAATCCTTTAATAAGAAGTTTCACAGTTTTTTTTATATATGTATATATTTGGATATATAAATTCTTAGGCTTACTGCGATTTGAACAGGACATTTTTGACAGAAGATCCTCTGTAGATTTTCTATGTTTAAATATTTATTAAAATAATGTATCTAAGTATTTATATCAGTTGTCTAGTACCTATAACATAAACTCTGCTTGCCTGGGACTATATGGCGTTGTGTGAAATAAAAAAAACGTCAATTTCTGTTTTCCCTTCCTAATACGTACCATCCACAAATTATATAGTAACTACCTATTGAATTAGTGAATTATCCCGCTTAGATGAGAAAAAAAGATGAATTATGTATCAAAAGTTTAGATTTAAAATCTTGTACAAGCAAAATATGTACCCATTTTAATATTCTTACTATATAGTTAATAGTCATACCTCACAACAATGATAATCATGATTTTATTTTATTAAATGAAAAAAAATGTGTCATACACCTTTCGGCCTCTTATCCACGTATATGATAAGTGATTCGCATATAAAAAACATTGAGGTATTATGTTTGTATTTGCATAGAGAAAACACGGTATAGAGTAGATAACTACAACAAACATTAACAAAGATAAGAGGATATTAGCCTATTTCCACGCTGGCCAAGCAGCTTAGTATAGATAAATATCACCTCATAAATGCGACTTCATAATAGAGATTTTTAAGGTATTATTATTTTGACGGCCTCTTTGGTCTAGTTATTTTGCACACCATCTTATTTATTCAAACAATACAAACATTTGAATTCATGAGTATGTCTGTATTATTGTTTATATAGTATTAATTTTTTAATTTATTACCATCGTTTTTTAATTACATTGACCTGTTCTACATATTCCAAGAAGCGCTGTTAACGAATCAATTGCAGTGTTAACACCGCAATTGATTTAAGTCCTCTAATAATTGTTATGCATAATACCTCAATGTTAGAAAACATGTTGAACAAAAACCATTTGGAGAATGTAACACAAGATGCGTGTGTACTCATGTCCCAGTGCGTTCACAATAAAGTAACATAAAATTATATTTTTATAAAATCCGGAGAAACTCACCAACCAGTTCACCGTTCTCGTTTATCTGCCGCTGTTTCTCCATTTGTGCCTTCTTCTCCAATTCTCCATGGTATGCTACATTGCTAATGATCTTTGTGTTGGCTTTGATTCTTAATGTTTCTGGATCGTCGGCTACCTGTTTATAAAAAAAATATATACTCACGACTGTAATTCTTGGTAGGACAGTCAGAAGCGTCAAATTTGCGCGTCATGGTAAAACAAAGCTACCAAACGGATACTTATTGGACCATACCATTTGTATACGTCCGATTGCACGAAATAGAAATAGAAATAATCTTTATTCAAATAAACTTAATGTAAACACTTGAATAGTCATATATTTTTATACTACCACTCATTCAAAACGGTACACCGTCCTTACTCTAATGTATGCAATTAACTAGATTGCGCTCGCGACTTTGTTTGCGTGACCATCACGACGTGGATAGTCATCTATCCTTCTCCATCTCAAGACAGTTAGTTAATAAACCAACTAATAAACCTTAAGTCAGACATAAACCAACTTTAAGTGACTGATGTTAGGTGGTTGGTAGTACTTTTATCTATACATCTATACATATAAATAAAATTGAAGTGTCTGTTTGTAATATTTAAATAACCATTTTTTACTATATGCATATGAATATATATACGTTACATATACCAAAATAACATTTTTTATTTTTTGTCTGTCTGTCTGTCGGTCTGTTTGTTCCGGCTAATCTCTGAAATGGCTAGACCGACTTTAACGAGACTTTTTTTGGCAGGTAACTGATGTAATAAGGAGTAACTTAGGCTACTTTTATTTTAGAAAATAATATAAATTTAATAAAAAAATATTAAAAAATAATATCAGTTTGTTAGTCATTTCAAAGAAACCATAAACACAGAGTACGATTGTGTAGTATCTACGAACCTGTGTGAATTTCCCCTTGCTCTTCTCGAAGTCGGCGTGATACTTGACATTGCTCTGTAGCTTCGTATTTTCAGCTATCCGCTTCAGTTCCGGCGTCTCCGCCATTGTTGTGTGTTTGGCTTTTGGCACGTGTCTGCAAAACAAAGTTATTTATCTGTTAATAAACAATATTTTTTGTTATTGTGAACTAGTTGTATCTCGTGGTTACGCTTATAATAATATATTTCTTTATTGCGCGCAGAATTTTTTTCCAAATAAAAATATACTAAACAACAGGCGGCCTTATCGCTTAAAGCAATCTCTTACGTCTGTAAGAGATTGCTGGGAGATAACAGCTTTGAGTAAAGGAAAGATACCTCTGTGGCGCACTATAAAAATATATTTAGATAATATATGAATACGTATACAAACATATATAAATATTAAAGATATACACAAATAAAATATAATAGCTACATAGTTTTTTTATATATTTATTCATTTTTTTTTTATATCCATAGACATGAGGTTTATTCTTTTATTTCCATTTTCTGTGACGAGGTCGTAATAACCATAGTATCCCGCATTTCGTCCCAAAAAATTGGAATAAACCTAAAACTAAATTAAAATAATAAGTACTTAGTTACAATCCCATTTGCAACAAAGAAAAGCGTGAAAATAGCATATTATTTTAATAAGAAAGTATCTACTACATTTGCATAACGTTGCTTATTTACATATATTCATGAATTAGCAATAATATTATAATTAGGTGCATTATTGTAGTCATTTAATTTATATCACCCATTATAATCTGATAAATGGAACTATATATTATTTATATCAGGAATAGAAAGTTATTACCTTAAGATAATAATAATAATAATAACAACCCAGTACAGTCCACATACTATCGGACACATAATTGATAGAAATATATAGCTCTGGACAATTCACACAATGTCATCTAGTCCCAAACCAAGCAGAGTTTTTTTTATGGGTACTACTAAACAACTGATATAAATACTTAGATACATTTTTTTCTACAATACTCATGAATGCAAATGTTTTGTTAAAAAAGTAATAGTAATATGATAATGAACAAGGTTTACAGATAAGCTCTATCTCTAAAAAGAGATTTTTGTTGCAAATGTTTGTACCGTGAGAGGAATGGAACCCGCGACCATTGGAAGTAAAGTGGCGTGATAAACCGCTAAACTACCGGGCCTTCTAATCATATATTTTTTAACATACAAAATATTGATACTCATGAAAACATATTATTAGGGGGAAAAGGGGATTGTTAGTAATGTGGACTGATGATCTTATTGCTAGCAATGTATCATCTCAGATTGATCTCTACGCGGTTCGCCCTGGAAACCATCGTTATAAATACTTGATGAATTTGTCACGATGGACTAACTGATCTGACCTCACCTTATCATCCTCCACTAGTGCCCCGCCAGTGTAAACCGTTTGCGCAGGCGGGTGCACCATTCCATTATCATCCATAAAAAAAACATTATTATTTTGTGCGAGAAACGAACCCGCGACCAACGGAAGCAGGTTTGCCATTCCAGTCACGTTAAACTACCAAACTACGCTACCGAGATAAAAGACCTCGATTTTTTAAACTGGTACATCTCGTAAGATATCAGTTTTGTTTGGTTGTAATCCAGTTGGGAGCAAACAATGAGCAATTGACCCGGTTAATATGCTATGCATAGCTCAGCCGTGAAAGTGGTTGAAGGTAATCTATGCCATTCCACTGCGACAAGGGTATTTGCTATAAGTGATAAGTTTTAGGGTTCCGTATATTATTTGGACAAGGGTATTTGCTATAAGTGATAAGTTTTTGGGTTTTGTATATTATTTGGACATCGTGAGCCACTTAACATTTCCTACTCCACCCTTTGGATTGTTAGCAGTTGAAGGTAATCTATGCCATTCCACTGCGACAAGGGTATTTGCTATAAGTGATAAGTTTTTGGGTTCCGTATATTATTTGGACATCGTGAGCCACTTAACATTTCCTACTCCACCCTTTGGATTATTAGATTGTTAGCAGTCGACAAGGGTATTTACTATAAGTGATAATCTGTATATTATGGACATTCTTAACACTGCTACACCCTTAGGAAGTTGAAGGTATCTATGCCATTCCACTAAGTGATAAGTTTTTGGGTTCTGTATATTATTTGGACATAGTAAGCCACTTAACATTTCCTACTCCACCCTTTGGATTGTTAGCAGTTGAAGGTAATCTATGCCATTCCACTGCGACAAGGGTATTTACTATAAGTGATAAGTTTTAGGGTTCCTTATATTATTTGGACATCGTGAGCCACTTAACACTTCCTACTCCACCCTTTGGATTGTTAGCAGTTGAAGGTAATGTATGCCATTCCACTGCGACAAGGGTATTTACTATAAGTGATAAGTTTTTGGGTTTTGTATATTATTTGGATATCATGAGCCACTTAACACTTCCTACTACACCCTTTTGTGGAGATTATTAGCAATGTACCATGTTAGGTTGACCTCCACGCGGTTCCTTCTGGAAAAATAAATTCATGGTGAATTTGTCACGATGGGCTAACTGATCTGACCTCATGTTCATATTATTATCCTCCACTGGTTCTTGTTAGAGCAGGCAGCCGCACCATTTCATTATCATCCATAATAAAAAAAACTCCACCGTTGGGTTGACTGGAAGGAGGGATCTCTTAGAGATAAGTCCTCCTCATTCATAATTTAAGAGCGACACTTGTCGGTGGAGCTCTTGCCACTTTCCACGATCCATCATACTTTTTAAACCTTGATACGACACGACTCCAATTCTGTCTTTCATTTGCTTGATGTAGCTGTGTCTTGGTCTTCCTCATACCCTCTTTCCTTTTATATTTCCCTCAATAATAACTTTCATAAATTGATCCTACGATGGTAACATTACTTCTATATAATGTATTCAAAGTGCAATAAAGGTATACAATATAAAATAATATAATATTTACGGCCTCGGTAGCACAACACGTTAGCGATGGTCACGAGTTCGATTCCTCGTACGGTGCAAACATCTGTATGATTGTTCGTATTGTCTGGATTTTTTTAGGTAAATTATATATGTATTTACAAAAACTATATTAAGTAGTCAACTGAGATACAGTTGACTAGTACCTATAACACATGCTCTAGCTTGGGACTAGATGGCGCTATGTGGATATTACAGGATCTTTATTGTATATCCTTTATGATATAGTCCAATATAATGGCCACCTAGAAGGGTATTATAGGACGCTGTTCCTGTATATAAACGACGGCCAGCGTGTTTGCCATTCAAGTAACATTAATTCAAGAAGGGTATATCAAGGTTTCTTAAGGATCGACAACGCGCAAGAAAACCCCTAGTCTTTCAGGCATCCACACGCTACGATAACCTTTTGCCATCAGATGGGCCGTATGTTTGTTTGCTACCATAGTCGTATAAAATAAAATCGAATCAGCTCTTACTTACGCTATTTAAGAAAGTAAAAGCAACAGATTAATTGTTGAAAATCTAGAGCGATATGAATCGCGTGCCGACGCAACGCGGTGCGTCCATTGAACAGCCGCCATGCGACATAGGAAAGATCCAGAAATATCGATGTCAAGTCACCGATAAAGTCTATAAAAAAAACAAACCGCAATTTTCTGTTTTTATTTTTAGCCGTTCTAGTATTTTTTTGTGAAAATAGCAAAAGCGTCACTCGAAACTGTTATTTTAGTACCATAGTGGCTGCGCCCGCCACTTCGTCCGTGCGAAATAGCCGATGAATGACGAGTTTCCATACGAATTTTCCTGTTTTATTTTACCCCTTAAGGGTAATATTTTTACAATCTTTGAATGTCATATTTATTTATATTTAATCAATCATCTGCTTCTTCCTCAACGCATTTTGGGGTTGGCGTAATATATTTATTTATATTTAATCAACAGCCTAAAAACAAGTTTTAAGCCTCTATCTAGACTTTAAAAATGTCGATACTTCCATAAAACCTTCATCTCCCATATCAACGCTCTACAACCCTTATTTCGCATTAAAAAGTACTATATCCTTTCTCATAGTCTAGACTATCTGTGTAAATTCATTTAAATCGGTTCAGTAGTTTTGACGTGTAAGCGAGACAGACATACAGACAGACAAAGTTACTTTGGCTTTATCATATCTTATTAATTAATATTATAAACGCGAAAGTTTGTTAGTATGGATGGATGTTTGTTACTCTTTCACGTAAAAACTACTGAACGGATTTTGATGAAACTTTACACTAATATAGCGTATACATCAGAATAACATATAGGTTATAAATTTCATTCGGCTGAAACTTCGGGCACAGCTAGTAATATTATATAAGTAAGCAAGTAACGATTAAAGATTATATAACGACGATTAAATAGAAAAATGACATTTTTCAAAATTTCCACCTAGAATTGCCTCCTTTTATATAAGTCACTTAAATTAACCGCGCCGTCTTAATCATTATCTAAATACTTTTAAAATGATATATAAAACATCTGTAAATTAAAAACTTAAATAAAAAATTTAAATAAATAAAAAAAAAAGAACTGTAATAATCTAGACAAACGTCTTGTAAAAAATGTACATTTTGAATACAGCCATTTTTCTATTTAACCGACGATTTTATGATTTTTTTAGTCAGCATCAATATACATCGATATTTTGCGTTAACGATGTCGATATTAATGTGTTTCTAATATCGATCATCCCTAATGCGACACTTTTACCGGCACGCGGATACATGACTGGTTTCTTGTGATTAGAAAAAAAATACGTCGCGCTAATGACGGTAAATTGACGTAATCTACACTAATATCATAAACGCGAAAGTCTGTCTGTCTGTTTGTTTGTTACAACATCTCTAAACGGCTGAACATTCTTGTTTTGATCTCAAGATAAATTATATCACATAACATTAATGTTTCCCTAGATAGATAGATATATAGATAAGCTTTATTTTTCAAATTTTACATTATTATAATACTACTATCCTGCAAAACTCCTGTCGGGGTTCGTCTGCAAGCGAATAGAATAGAATAGAATAGAAAATCATTTATTCAAATAAACTCACATTGAAGCACTTTTGAATAGTCAT